GTTTACCTCATATTGGTCTACATCAGGCCCTCAGTGTTGTGATTGAGCAGCCCTGTCCCACAGAAATTTCTTACCATATTCCTCTCAATATGTGTAGATTCATTTAAAAATTATACACACATAAAATTGTATTAATGTTAATTACATTATGAAAGTTAAAATGGAAAAGCATAAAAACAATCATTTAAATTTTTAAAAATATTAATGATAAAAATATTTGCTGTCACTAAAAATACTGGCAGTATTAATTTTTATCAGTGAAAGAAATGTAAAATAATATTTAGTTGCAGAATGACTTGAAGGTTTGGTTTCACATTTAATTATTTCAATAAATTGGTTTTCACAGCTGTCGTAGTGAAGGATACCAATACATCAAGTATAATTGGTTTCTACATGCCAATTTTTAAAAGATTCTGTTGAAATTTGGCTAGTAAATTTCATCTTCTCTGATGTCAGTCAATTGTTCTTATGAAAGGGTCAAAATATTTTTTATATTTTACCAATTTCAAACCTCACTGAAATTTTTCATTAGAAAGATTTTAAATATGTTAATACTCTCTTTCCAAGATTTTAGGCCACACAGTTTTGAGTTTTTATTAGTAACACTCATTTTGAGTAACAAAGGATCAGATGTACACATATATACAGAAAGAAGGATTTCAAACATCTGTATTCAAAATGCTTTCTCCAAAGCAGTTACTTTTTCAATAATTATTAAAATACTATCTTTTCCCTGAAGGGTCAAACTTAAGGTCCTTTAACTTGAGGCTAGAACAATTTGACCATCAAAATAAATGATAGTAATGGATTACAACTCACATCATAAATTAGAAATCCATGAGTTCATACTAACATAATTAAATTAACAGGAGAAAATGAAATCTCCTTATAGTAGAACAACAACTAATTAATGTAGAAAGGATAATGAAAGCAAAGTTACCACTTGACAACCACCATTAGTGGTGATAACCTCAGAAAAAAGTCATCAATGGATACTAAGGTGGTAGGTAGAGATTTGATGAGGCACACGGTATCAATAGTCTAAGAGGATCTTACTACAAAACACATACCCATTACAAAGGGAAAGAGGGGTATCTCTTTTTCAATATTTTTAGATGTATGTGGACACAATATCTTTATTTTATTTAATTTTATGTGGTGTTGAGAATAGAACCCAGTGTCTCACACGTGCTAGGCAAGCGCTCTACCACTGAGCCACAACCCCAACCCAAAAAGGGATCTCTTGACAATGAAGAAACCAGGACAATATAAATTCAACCAAATGATTAAGGCTATCACAAATTGTAGAACAGGTAGCCATCTTATACTTCCTGATGCAATGCACTGATAAGAGCACAGCACAGTTTTTGTGTAATTCCAATCAAGACAGCATGGCCTGAGTCTGAACATGAGTAAACACTGAATGCATCCAAACTGAAGAACATGCTACAAGATGAAAGGCCTGTACCATTTTAAACAGTTAAAGATGGAAAAGATGAAGAACTATTCCAGACTAAGGGAAGACTAAAGAGATGTGACTACTAGGGCTGGGGTTGTGGCTCAGCAGTAGAGCACTCACCTAGCACATGTAAGGTGCTAGGTTCAATCCTCAGCACCACATAAAAATAAATAAATAAAATAAAGGTATTGTGCCTAGCTATAACTAAAAATAAAAAAACAGACATGACTACTGAATACAACATGTCATCCTGGATTAGATTCTGAATCAGAAAGAAAAACGAGACACTGTCAGAATAGTTGGCAAAATTTGCACAGGGTCCTGATTATAATATTATTGTTTTCCTGATTTGGATGGTTTAATTGTGGTTACTCAGGAGAGTACTCTCATTTTCAGGGAAATACAAGAGCATTTAGAAGAGAAAATACCATACTTCCAACTTTCTCACAAGTAGTTTAGAGAAAGACTATTCCTAATACAGCAAAAGCAGATAAAGCAAATGTGAAATGCTGATAGCTGAAGCATCTGGGTCAGAGGATGCGAAAGTCTATCTACAGGTTATATACTACTGACAGGTTTTAAGTCATCACTTAAAACTATCCCTTCTGCCTGAAGACTAGAGTCTATCTATTGACACACAGATTAAGGACATGTCAAACTCATAACACAGAAAATTTAAAAATATTTATTTTTATTTTTGCTTTTTTATACTCTTTCAGATCTTAATGTATTGATGTTTTGGGCCTTAAATTAGTGACCCCATAAAAATTTCTGTAACCTATTTCTGGCCCCACAATATCAGCCAGTAATATTTGAACTGGCTAAGGAAGAAGTGATCCAAGAGGCCTTGAAATGGTCCCCTGCTCTCATCTGTGACTTCAAAGAGATGATGGTACTGAAAATAAACATAAAACTTTACCTTCAAGCTCTCAACCCACTAGCTGTATTTGATTTTCATTAATTAGCACAGAAAAAAAAGCTAAGGCCATCTCCCCTATCTTAAGTCTCTGGTTTAGTTGCCATGCATTCCAAGAAGCACACTGTAAGAAGATGACTAATCACTGACTGCTTCTCCAGCACCATATGTCTCTCAATTTCAAAAGAAAAATTGTCCCAACCAGTATCAGAACAGATTCCCTACCTCCTGCAGCTGGAGTCGGACCTTGGTCACTGCTCGGATCCAGTGTGCTCTGGCTTGGGTAAATGGTGAAGATGCATTCTCCTCAGGAAAACTTGTAACAAAGAAAAGAATATTTGGGGGCAAGAAAAAAAAAAAAACATGAGTTACAGGGGACAGGGCTTAAAGCAAGATCGCCAAATATCTAAAATAAAATGATTTGTACTCATGCCTACACTTGTTTAGTGATTCAGGCCACTAAAACAGCATTGTCCTGAATACTTAATGTGCAAACAATTCCTCTATAAAATGACAATTCTTTTTTAGCTTTTCATCTGTTCCTACTTTTGCTTCTCCTTTTTTCAATTACCCAGTGAGGTGGCTCATTAGGATAGTCAGGAATCATGACACTAGAAGTAATAGCAAGGGCCCTAAGTTAATGTCAACCACAGAAACCAGTCAGAGATATGTGGAATAATCCTCTCACTTACTTCTTGAGACCACCAACCTTCTTTGGGGGTTCCACATAGCTTCCTTAGGGAGGAATTTTGTTCCTGCAAACCGTTCCTGCTCCACTATTTTAGAAGATGTACCAATTCCTAAACTACATAAAAAGTGCCAAATAAATAAATAAATAAATCACAGCCCTTTCCTTCCATGATTTGATCCTTGAGCTGTCTGCCTCTGGAACACCCTCAGAAAAAATGAACAATAAATATCAGAGAAACACTACTTTGTATTAGAACAAGTCATCAGCCACATTCTTAACTGGAATACAGTTAATTCTTGGTGCTACTGCTTCACCTTCCTTCCTTTGGAGCCTATAGCCAAGGCAGAAGACAAACATTCACTACCCGTACATGCAAAAAGCATGTTAGACTCTGAAGTCATCTAAATGAGTCAACTATTCTAAAACATTTGTAGAACTAGGCTTCACATGCACAGAGAGAACCTGAGAAGACAAAACCGGAAGAAAAGGATAGGTGCTCATTCTGGGCACTTCTGTTTCTCTACCAAGAGCTCAACCCTGAGAAAAGTAGCTGCCAAATCTCAGCTCCACAAAGAGCCAGCCTTTCAATGGAACATTAATCCAGTGAGAAGGCTGGTGCTGGTCCAGAGCTCAGTGATCCAGTGTCTTGCCTACTAGATGAACCACAAGAGATAGTAAGTTTATGTCTTCAGAGAAGTATGTGACTCATTCATTCATCTAGTGGTGGAAGAGAAGCCCCAACAATTCCTTAACTTTTACCAGGTAACTGGCATTTACTGCTTTTGGTTTTTTAGTGACAGACTTTATTCTATCATTATTTTAGATACTGTGGTAGTCAAAACTGGAGGTTGTTAATAGCATCTAATGTGCAAAGGTCAGATAGGCTACTAACACCCTATAATGCATAAATAGCTTCCTATAACAATTATCTGGCCGGCCCAGAATATCAATAATGCCTAGACTGAGAGACCTGCTATACTCCAATCCCTCCTCAGCTACTCTAACCAATTTAAGTCAATAATAGTAATAATATTCAAAGTCTGTATTAAGCTCCATTATAAGATTATTAAAAGTGACAAATTTTAAAATTTTCTTCTTATGGTTTCATATTGCCAAATACATTGCCAAGCCCAGGGGAAACAGAGGGGTGAGTTAAATCTGTCCTCTTGATCAATTCTTTACTCTGTCCTAGTTTTTCTCAGGAAGCATAAAACAAACAACAACACTGTTTACAAAAGAAGTTAAAACAATAGACTAGGAAACCGGCAAGGCACCCAAAGTAGCCCCACTGAATGCAGGGCTCAGGTGGGGTTTTAGACTCAGAAACTGCCATATGCAGGATCAAGAACAGCAGATACAAGAAGCCTTAGCAGACTGCAGCTCACTAACTCCAGAGAACTCAGTGTTCTGACTTCAGAGAACTCCCAAATATCTTAGGAATTATACCAAAAAAATCAAAGGAAGCAGTGCAAATTTCAGCATGGATGTCTTGCACCCCACCATACCCAGCTGCAAAGAAACAAATGAAAAACTCTTATATTCAGTAATATCACAGGGCAGGTACTGAGGAAGCATGTGGGACAGTCATCACCTACCTCTCCTGGGGGTCTAGGACATGGTCCTTGTGTAGCACCAGATCTGGGGGAGGATGGGCTATGGCATCTTCTCTCATCTCTTTGGGTTCACAAGCTCTCCCCTTCTCTGTTTCACCTGTAACTTCCAAGGCTTTTTCTTGTTCTCCAAAGACAGCCTGGCCATCTCTGGAGAGACTACCAGAGCTGTGGCAGGAATGAATTGAATCCCTCTCCCGACGATCATCATCTTGTTCGTGATATTGGTCTAGTTCACTCAGCTGAGAGCTTCCTTGACTCACATTACAGGAGGAGCCATACCTACTACTGCTGGTGGGGCTGTAAGATTTAAAAGAAGACAGATGAGTAAATAAATGCAAACTAGGGACCAGGGTACAAGTATAGATAAATTCAGGAAATAAACATTACATCAAGGGCAATAACCACAAACAGGAGGTTCCTAGGAAGAGAGGACCAAACGTCCTAATCTAGAAAACTAGTCTCTATTAAGCAGAACCACAATAGGGAAAAAGCAATGTGCTGGGTTCTCCCACAGCATTTAACTTCAGCCCTACACCTACCCTTTAAGAACAATTTATCTTAACATGCTATTTTTCAATAGAAATAGTAAAATGACTACTGCCTATCCCTAAAATTCTTTTGTCTTCTAAATAAACTTGTCCAGTGGCTGTGATTAAAGTTTGCTAATTTCCACATAGTGGAGTGAATGAATCTACTTTTTCTATTATTTAATAAACTGAAGTCCTTATTTATTTCCCTACAATTATAAATGAGTACACCTATACCATAGCATAATCAAATAAGAAGGAACATGTTCCTTCAATTACCTCTTAGACATTTGTAGGATGCGTTAATGGAAGCCATTGGGAGATAGAGGCCAAGACCAAGAAATTCCACAAAGGAGTGGTCTCATCCACATAAATGCTACAGTATACCTATACCCCTGGGATACAGAAGTATCCCAAAGATGAACTTCTCCTTTGTATATAAGTTTCTCTCAGGGAAAGAATCAGTTATGGATAAAGTCGACAAATCTAACCCTTCTGGGTCATAGTCATATTAATGCATCTCCATATCTGAAATAAGGTTAGCCCAACGCTCTCTCAAACACCTGAATTCCCATGCTGAGAAAAAAATCTGTCCCCCCACAATGAGAGTTAGTTGTGGTAGGGAAAGTGGTGAAAATGGCACAGTGGTGGAAAGAAGGGCAGTATCCATGATACCCCCTTGAGCCTAATAGTCCTATCATCTAAAGGAGTCAGCCCTAATAAAGACAGAGGGACTTGATGTTATCTGCATCCCAAGTCAGGAGTCCTCATTTTATTACTGGTATCCTGTTGGAAAGCTTCCATGCAAAAAAAAAAAAAAAAAAAAACAACAACAGGATTTTTCTTGTGACAGAGTCAAGCCTTTACCTAAGGGCTTAAATTTATTTATCCTTGGTTAAATTAAGAGAAATCATTGATGTTTTCCAGTGATATTTTCCTTATGGTTCCTCTCAATTACCTGCTGTTTTTAGGCTGATTTCCTATTTCCATCACATGTCAGCAGAATAGTAATAAGTCACTGTTCTGAGTAGTCCCCAATGCACATGTATACATGCACACACGTGTATCATGCCCTGCCCAATCTCTAAAACCCCTGACCAGCTCTTCTGGACATGTTTGGGTCAAAGGTCAAGGTAGCATTCTTATTATGATTATTATCATTCTTTTTTAATCATAAAGTCTTCCCCCCCCCCCGCAAGGTAGCACTCTTAAACTACACTGTATGGTATTATTGAAGAACTATAATTTTGGATAGCTGAGCTCCTGCAAGACTTTACCAAAGCACTTTCGGCCTCAAGGTGGTTCAAAGCAGAGAATAATGTCTGATGAATAAAGTCTCATAGTAACTTGGGCTACCCCTTGCTGTAGTTTTTCAGTATAGAGCATTGTGAAACCTTGGTATCAGAGATTGATACCTGACAAAAAGCTATTCAAATCCATGTTGAATAGAATATAGATTGTTCTAAGTCATTTTTTTTTTGTATTTTACCTAATATCCTTATGGCCACTGGAGGAAGCATCTTAGAAGACGTGGAAAACCAAAGCAAATTAGGTTTCTCCCTATCTAGTATAAGATGTAAGTGCCTAAGACCAAACCAAGGAAGAATCCAACCCTATTACATAGTTGTAATTAATATATGCCCCTTAAATACTTGCTCCCTCTTCCTGCCCTCCCTTTCTCCATTCCACATTATATAAGGAAGAGCAAACTAGAGTGAGTAAATCTCAGGGCTCAGCCTTTCCTTTAAGCAAGAAGCTCCTTGTTCCAACAAATGAATTACATTTGACATTAGAGAGAAGGGAGAGAATGAAAATACCCATGTATTAGCTCTTGTCACTAACCCCTAATTAATGTGAAACACAGGTGTTAGGAAAGACACAGAAAGGATAAAAAGCAAACTAACATAATCTAACACTAAGTCACCTGCATCATAAATGGTCAATTCCTTAAAACCATTTATGATGCTTGAGTTGAGAACAGGCCTTTTGTTGGTCATTGGTTCCTTAATGTGATCCGGAGTGACTGGTCGCTGTTCACTTGAAACACGGTCAGTACTAGCAGGCAACACCTCCTCTTCTTGTTTTCCTGGCTGATTAGGCAGCTCAAAGACAGTGCAGTGTTCTTCTTCTGGTTTCCCTGAAGGACAAGTGGAGCCAGAGAGATTGCCTTGGGCACCTCCAAGTTCTCCAGATGCTGAGATACTAGCAGGCAACACCTCCTCTTCTTGTTTTTCTGGCTGATTAGGCAGCTCAAAGACAGTACAGTGTTCTTCCTCAGGTTTCCATGAAGGACAGGTGGAACCAGAGAGATTGCCTTGGGAACCTCCAAGTTCTCCAGATGCTGAGATTTCCAGCTGGGTTTTCACTTCTTCAGGCCCTGACAATCCGTGAACAGAGACACTTGGCCTGGCATCCAGCTGCTCAGAGGTCCCAGAGGACTGAGTAAAGACCTCATCTGGCTGAGCACTGGCTACAGGTATTTGAGAAGACTCTGAAGCTTTGCTGGCCTCACTGGAGTTAAGATCATTGCTGATAATCAAAATTGGAGGGGAGGATTCTCCAGGAACATGTTCAGAGTCCCCTTTGTTCTCTTTGGGCCATGAAAATGAAAGATCCAGTTTCTTTCCAAATCCTAGTTTTGAATTACTTGGCGGTACACTTCCTTCATTACCTCCCTCAAATAGAGTTGACAACTTCTTAAAACCAGACATTAAACCACTCTCTACTGCTTTGTTGCCAGAGGGAGAAGGTGAGGAAAAGAAAGAGCTCAGTGTCTTCCCACGGTCAGTAGTAGAGGATGGGAAGCGGAGCTTTGGCCAGTTGGTCATGTTTGGGATCTCAAAAAGAGGTCTTGGCTGCTCCATTTCCTGAGGGACTACAGGTGGATCTTCCTGGGCATTAAGTACCCCACAAACTTCTTTGGCATAAAGCACAGGTTCTTCCTGCAGAGGATGAAAAAGATCCCCTTGGGTTTCTGAAGCGGTGTTCTCATTGACATTTCCCTCATCAAACAGTGTAGTATTGGTTTCTAGTGAATTGGTTGCCTGTACTTCCAAGACGTTTTGGTTTGTAGAGGCAGTCTGAATAGCTAGCTCTGGCTCAAGAAGAGGTGGTTGAATTGAAGGAGGAAGCTCTTCAGCAATCCAGGCAGGATCTGGATGCAACTGTGTTGGTAGCAGAATATGCTCTGCTTCTAATGATGCCTCTGTGTCTGTACCCTGCTGCATTCCCGTGTCTCCTTCATCACTTAAAGACAATACTCCTTGCCTCATATCATCCTCTGAGACAGAAGATGTAGCAACTGTTTCAAAACCTTGGGGTTCTGAAACATTTTCAAGAACATTATTTTTTTCCGTTTTGGTTGTTAGTTTAGGGTCATCTGTCAAGCCATCTAATTCTGACTTTGTACTAACCACAGTCATTCTACAGTCACTGAGAGTAGAGTCTGAATTGAGTCCTGCAGAGGCAGCTGTATGCAAACTTTCTGGAGGTATGGATCCCACAGCCTCTCTGGAACAACCATTTTGAAGCCATGAAGTAGCAACAGATGATTCTTGTTTATATGTTTCTGGTTTGGAACTTTTGAAAATTCCAAACAGCTCACCTTTGAGAGGCTGAGATGATGCATTAGAAGAAAAAGAGAGAAAGGAGTTTTTCTTTGGAGATTTAGGAGAAGAGAAAAGTCCAGAAAAAGTCTTAGGAGGTTCAATTAAGCACCCAGAGAAAGATTTAACTTTGGTCATAAACCCTGAAAGCATTTCTACTTTAGAGTCTAGCATTGATTTGTCCTCCTTTTTATCTGCATCTCTGTTCTGGAAGTGCCCTGCAAACCCAGGGTCTGAAGAAGCAGCAGCTGGCTCCTTGATTTGGGGTGAGACTTCATCAGAGACCATTTCTAATGGTAAGTTCAATGGGTCTGTAGTAAACGTTTCATTTTGGCATTCAGTACAAGCATCTAAATCATTGAGTTTTTCATTCAAATGTTTATCATAAGAAAAAGACTTGGCCAGAGAGTCACCAGCGAAGGCTTTCTGGCTCCAAGCCTCTTCTTTCTGGGGAGTTGTTACTTCAAGGGTTTCTGGGTCAATGAAGAAAGTTTCAGCATGTGACTGAAATTCTGATGGAGGAGGAACAGTGTCTTTTTGTACCTGATTCACCTGAAAATCTGAAGATATCTCTGGTTCATTACTGGAACTCAGTTTTCCCTGTGTTTTCTCTACACTGAACTCATCTGCCAGGGAGGTAATCTCAGTGGTGTTGCTAGTGGAAATACAAGGGGCCAATTGTTGTTTATGAACTACTTCTTGAGCTATGCTGTCTCTATGATCACTAGAACCTTCCCTAGTCATTGAGACAATAGTGTCTACAAAAACACTTGGCTTCTTATAGGGCTGGGTAGTCACTGGAGCAACAGGAGTCTGCTGCTTTTCATCCAAAAAGGACAAGCTGAAGAAACTGAAACTAGAGCTCTTCTTACAAGAGGTATCCTTGATGCTTGAGTTAGTAGTGGGAAAAAAGGAAGGAAGTGTGAATAGCCCTTCTGCTTGAGATCTGACTCTTGGTAAAGCAGTAGAGGCTCTGTTCTCAGATTTTTCAGATCTATTCAAGAAAGAAAATATACTCTTTCTGATCGATGGTTCTGGTTGGGATGGAGATGTTGTAGCAGTTGAAAAACTCCAGTCTTTACCAGGAAGATGATCTAGTTCATTTGATTTTCTTCTGCTCAGAATATCAAAAGGAATTTTACTACTTTTTGGACCTTCTGTCACTGTAGACATGTCACTAGTTTCTTTTGAAGAATCTCTAGGAGAGTCTTTGAGACAACTTGTTGAGAAAGATGGTTCTGTTGACTGCTGGATTAGGTGGTCTCTGAAGGGTTTTTCTTTTTCGTTTAAATTACTATCCTGGGTTTCCTTGATTGATGGTTCCCTTAGCCTACTGTCATCAATGGTAGCCTGTTTGTTCAGACTTCTACCTCTAATCTTCCCTTCAACAGAAACTGCTGCAGGAGTTTCTACGTTCCCAATACCTTGACTATTTAGCTGTACAGAATTAAGACTTGACTTGACCTCATCCTTATCATTTGCTGAAGAAAGAGGCATATTTTCAGTTGTTTGTATGGGAGATACATTGGTTTTAAAGAATTCCCCAAGGGTACCAAAAAAATTTGAAACACTAGAAGATTCTTTCTTTTCCTGAGATGATGTCTTTCCATTTTTATCACCATCACTCTTTTCCAAGTTTGATGATTCTTCTTTATTCGCCTGGGTTTTAAAGAGGTTCAAAAATCTAGATGCCTGTTTTTCATTTGCCATTGTTCCTGCTGAAGATTCTTCTCGACCAAAGAGCTTCAATGCACTTTTAAATAATGTTTTCTCAGGCTCTTTGAAAGACTGTTCCTGAGGAAGATCACACCTTTTGTGCTCATCCCTACTAAACTGTGGTACAGGAGGATCTGAAACAGAATCAGCTGTAATGATTTTATCATCTTCTTTACTTGATTTAGCCTGAGATAATGTTGGACTTACTTGATAATCAGATTTTAACAAACTTTGTTTTTTCACAGGAATACTTTTATTTAAGGGGAATCCTTGCCTTATATTTTTAGTAAAGTCTCGCTGCTGAACATTGGATACTGTCAGTTTCTCTGAATACTTAAGTTGATTTTCTTCCTCCTTTTGGGAGTTACTCTTCAATTGCTTACTCAGGATTAATGAATGAAGACCATCATTTGTAAGTTCTGCCAATTTTGACTGCTGATCCATTTTCTGCATGACTAAAGCCTCTGGAGATTCACTTTTATCAAAATTCAAAGTACTTTCAACCAAGGCACCCCAAACAGAAAATAAAGGAGTCACTTTGTTCACTGATGGTGTCTCTTCTGCTTGCTGCAAGCCTTTAGTCAAATTTTCAGGATGAACTGAAGAGGAAGCTTCATCAGAAAATGATGGAAGCCACTGGAAACTGGAAAGGTGAACTGAAGAATCTTTAGCCAGAGGCTGGTTCTCACCTTTTGCTGTAACTTGACTTCTGTTCAAGATATGATTACTAATAGTTTGGGGCTGATTTCTGAGATCCAGTGTACATTCAGAGCCACAGGGCCTTTCTTTGGAAGATAAAAGATCTCCTTTAAACTTTTGAGGATTATAGACTGAAAAATCCAATGGCTGATCCTGCTGGATTAAACTTGACTGTTCAAGTGCTTGTGAAAAGGTTTCTAAATTTAGACACAATGGTCCCTCCCTTCTTGGCAAAGCTACAGATAAATCAAGAGGGTCATCAATTGGTTGTTCTTCAACATACCACAATATTTCATCTTCCTTGTCAAGTACTTTAAGACTATGGGCAGAAATAATGCTATCATCTAACATAATACTTGATAGATAATTTGTCTGTAAATCATAATGCAAATACTCTTGATAAGAATAATCTGGTATATATAAATATACATACTGCCCAGTAGAGTCAGTAAGGAGAGAATAGATATATTGACCATCATGGAACATATAATATCCATAATCCCCATTCTCTGAGGGCCACCAGACTCCATTTTCAAGACATGACAACCATTCCTGATACTCATAACCAAAACCTGAAAAAATAAGGTTTCTATCCATGCTTAATGATTCTTGATCAACTATGGAGCATGAAGTTTTCTCATCTGAAGAATAACTTAAGTCAATAGGCAAGTCTTCTAGTGAATTCTTCATCTTATTAATTGGAAGGTACACAGAATTTCCATATAATGAGTTAGCTGCCCACATATCACCTCTTAATAAGTAATCTTCATTAAATGCTAACTGGTCGGATGATTCATATGGTAAGTCACACCAAATGACACTGTTTGGATTTGTTCTCCACTCCAAGCTTTTTGAATTTTGATCTTTCTGGCAAAAATTTATTACTGGGTTTTGTGAGTCAGGCCAAAAGAAAACATCCGCTGATGGAAATGTATTTTGATTCAACATATAATAAACTGGCTGAGGTTTTCTGGAATTTTTAGAGAGATCTTTGATATCAGAGTCCCATTCAAAATAGAAAGGATTGCTCATGCCTTCGAAAGTCTGATAATGATTTGATTTATTAAAAATGTTAGGGTTTAATACAGGTGAATTTACTGTGTTTAATTTTTCACGTGATTTTGCCTCAAGAATATGGTTTGGTGTCGGCCTCTCAATCAAAGATTTCTCTAAGAGGCCCTGTTCAGAACTGGCAGCACTTTGAAATACTATGTTCTCAGAAGTGGGGCAATGCTTTTCATTTTGCTGGGTTTTGCACGGAGGAGGGCAATAATGATTATTAACCCAAGCATCAGATGCTGGTATGTTTTCTTTTGATAATGATAAAAAGCTTTTTATGAAGCCTGAAGTTTCATGTTTTTCAACCCGGTTTATCTTGTTCTCAGAAGTCACACATGAAGTAGCAGGGCTCTTATCTAAGGATAAATGTTTATTTCCATCCAAACTTTTAATATCACCTAAAGACATAAACTTTGCTTCATCTGCTTTACAATCACTCATATTGCTATTAGATATCAAGTTAAATAATCCAGAGAGTAATAAACTTGGAGTACTATTCTTATGAGAGGAATCATTGTTTTTTGAATTTAATTCTTGTTGATTAGACAAGTTTTCAGAAGAAAACCTGTTAAGTAGGCCAGAAAGGAGGCCCCCTTGGGTTTGTTTTTTGGAAGTATTTTCTATAACTTTGTCTTCATTAATCACTGTGGATTTTGAAATGGTAGAACTAAACTCTAATGAAGATACTGTTGAAAATGTCACTTGTGTAAAATTCTTACCTTCTCCTGAAAGATCTGAAGTTTTATGTTTTGGGGACACAACTCCAGGGATAGATAAGGCACCACTTTCATAACTCTTTACTGCTGTATGGTCATTTGGATTTAATTCTTCTATACTCCCAAATTTCCCAAAATTGTTAATAATATTTGAGGCTGAATCAGCATTTATTATATTTAGTTTGGCATCTTCAGAACAATGTATCTGCTCATTCTTATTAAATTTCTCTGTACTGCCAAATTTCCCTAGATCATTATGAATATTTGGAACTGAACTAGACCTTAATGAACTAAGGTTGATATCTTTAGAACAATGTACTTGGTCATTCTTATTAAATTCCTCTGTACTACCAAATTTCTCCAGATCGTTATGTACATTTGGAAGTGAGTTAGATATTACTGAACTAAGTTTGGCCTCTTCCTGGTAATTTCTTTGGCTCTCTTTATCTGTGGTTACTGCCGAGTCATGAAAACTCTGGTCATTAACAACTTTATGACTATCAGTGAAAGGAAATTTAAACAAAGGAAAAATGCTTCCTTTCTCTTTTAAATCCTGCTGCTTTTCAGAATGGCTAAGAACTTTGAAAAATGGAATATGTAATTTTCCACTAAAGGAAAAGGAATGTCCATCTTTCTTAGGGCTGCTTTCCCGGCCATCTTCTTTCACCTGGTCAATTTTCATAGATTCTGACAAAGTTTCCTTTGAACAAGGCTCAGGAGAAGTGAACAAAAACTGGCTAAAGGATTTTCTGAGTGGCTCAAAGAAATCGTCATCACCAGTAACTTTGTCCTTCTCTAACAGCTTTGAAGAAGCCTCTTTATTTGCAGGTCTACTGCCAGACACACAAACGTGTCCTGGCTTATCTTTGGCACATATTTTTGGGTGATCTGGTAACAGAGACAAATCTACATAGGTTTTTCCTTCAAACAGACTCTCATCTTTCTTACTTGCACAACTAGCTGAACTTGAAGGTTCGTTGGCCACTTGGGAGGACAACAAATCCTCACTTGCTTGCATCTGGAACTGGTCTCTGGTTTCTCCTTCCCTCCTATTTAAAGCAGTGATGCTACCACTGTGATTGTCAAGGGTGTCCTCCCTTTGATTTGACTCTGTACCACACCCAACAAAGCTTTCTCTCCTCAGTTCTTTACTCTGATCATCTTTTTTAGTTTCCTCTTTTTCTGAAAAGATTTTTAATGGATTTAACATGCTGAAAACAGACTTTATAACTGAGCTTTGTGGAACTGAGTCCCTTTCAGTAGTTTCTATTACATTCTCAAAGCTTAGATTCCCCATCTTATTGCCCATGTGCTCATTTCCAGAAGTTCTACCATGTTTGTCCTTATCATCAACTGTTTGAGAAGATAATGAAGACTGCATGGAAAGATCCTTCTCCAACACTGAGTTAGCACTGGGTCTAGATTCCAAATTAATTGTCTCTGTTTGATTAACGGTTTCTGTTTTCTCTGGAACTATATAAACCAGTTTTTCCACAGAGTTTGTTAAATGCTTTGTGCCAGAACCCACCTTTCCTGTGAGTGAACTGAATAAAGAACCAACAGCACATTTTACTCCATTCAGCTCAGGGAAAGAAAGGGTTTTGTCCTTGTCATCCTTGGTAATAGTTAAAGGTGGTATTTGATCCTTAGGCATTTTCTGTTTTGCATCATCAACTGTACTATTTTGTTTATCTGTTTTTTTTGTTTTTGAAAGGGAACCAAATCTATTAATCTCCTCTTCCTTCTCTGCTAAATATTCTGATACTGTTTCTACTAAACACTGAAGCTCATCCATTGTATCTACATAGTCCTCTTTAGGTTCCTCATTAGAAGGGGTCATCTGTCCCATAGAGCACCCAACTGTATTTGCGTCACAATTTATGCTTTCTAATTGCAATGCTGGGTTCTCCACATAATATTGATCAGAAAAGTCTCCAATATGATGGACACTGGATGGATGCCATGTTGATGACAGTAAATCTTCCTGCTCATCAGAAATGGGGGAGCCCAGGAGTTCTTCAGAAGTACTGCTAGTAGAATCTTCAATAATATCTAGAGGAGTTAAATTAATTACATGCTGGTTTGAGCCAGATGACTTTTCACAGTCCCTTAAACAACATGGCAGATCATAATCACAACTTCCCAACTTAGTGGTCCATGTGCCACTCTTAACCACAAATCCATTTTTGTAGGGATGTAAAACTGAGAAATTCTGTTTCTTCTTTTCAAAGTGACAACAGTTATAATTTTCAGCATCAGGATATACCTCAGATTTATATATCTTAGATTTATCATCATATAGCCTTCTTTTACTGTCTTCAATATTACTAGACAAGGGTTTCTTTTTTCTTCTCCTATCTATTGTATCATAATTCTGAGGATATTTGGAGAATACAGATGTTTCAAACTTATGGTCAAAATTAAGGACAGTAGGGAATTCTGTCTGTTGGTTCTGAGATGGTGTCTTTTTCCAACTATTGTACTTTGGTTGTTTTGGTTGACTGTAGTATTTATCAGTTTTTGAAAGATTTTGACTTTCTTTTACCACTGTTTCCTTTTGGTTATCATTTTCTAAAATGTCTTGTGATATTTTCCCTTCTATCTCCTCACATTTATCTTCTTGCTCTTCATAGTCAACATCAGAGAAAGCAGAAATAATCCTAATTTTGTCATATTTAGCCTGTGAGCCTTGCCTAAGGGGTTAAAATTGGAGGAATGGTAGGGCAAAGAAAACAGGAGAGACAGGGAAAAGAAGAAAAAAGTTATCAAAGTACCTGTTTAATGAAAGGATTAGAATAGTAAAATTGCCAGTAATAAAAAATAAGAAATGGAAATCCACATGTTCTTAATATTATACCTAGTCAAATAGTTTTTTTCCACATCATAAAAAGAACAGCTTTAAAATTTTTAAATGTTTCACTTGCTACCACTGTCATTACTAGCTTTTTAAGTTTCTTTTATTTTCCAAGAAACAAAAAAAATTAAGCATGCTTTTTCAATATCAACATAGTGTACGTAATAGAACTGTTAGGTACAATGGAAAATATATCAAGAGATTTCTTTTATTTATTTTGATCTTTTCCACCAGCATTGGAGATTGATGATCCCAGGGCACTCAACCTCCCAACCCTTTTTATTTTTTGAGACAGGGTCTCACTAAGTGCTGAGGCTGACCTTGAACTTGTGATCCTCCTGTCTAAGCCTCCTGAGTAGATGGGATTACAGGTGTGCTTCACCATACCTGGTTTATCAAGAGATTTCAAGAAACCCAAGTTTGCTGATGCATTTGTGTCTAAAAAGAAGTCAAGCTGTTAACTTGCTGAAAATTATATTCCAGGCTACAAAGACAACAATATGGTCAAACATATTCCTTTTAAAAAGAAAAAAAAAACAAGCATTACAAAAATAACTTGACTATCAAAAGTCTATCCTTATTATACTACCAAAAACAGCAATTTATTTAAAGCTTTGTAATTTGTTGTTTGAGAAACACAAAGGCTTAACACATCAAGGATCACATTAAAATAAGTATCTTTTCCTGTGCTGATTATAGCAGTAAAAGCCACATGTCTAACACAAAACAATGAATTCATAAGACAGCTCACTTTTCTTTCATTTAGGTTGGAGATGGCCTGGTTCCTGTATTTCTACACACCGAAGGCCTACAGACCAAGGACTTATCAGCTCACTATGTTCTTTTATAAATCTAACATATACTAGCATTTATTTAGGAAACAGAACAAGATCAAACATGAAGTCCAGAAACAAAATCAAAGTGGTCACTAAAAAATCTTTCAGGGTAAGGCTGACCTTTTATTAACTCTTCTCAATACCGGAAACACTTTGGTTAATAACATTCAACAAAGTTTAAATTCTGTTTTCAAACCTCAAATTATATAAAAATCATGTTATTCTAGATTAATTAAATAAAAGCTCATTTGATTGCATGATATTTTTTGTATGCAATTTCACAACTCTCCATTATTCTCCAAAAACTCAAACTAAACTTAAATCCAACCTGGAAGGAGTCTTTATAGTTCCAGATTAAATCAACAGCCATGGATACAGTGGATGTAACTATTTATTTTTATACTTTATATTTCCTAGAAAATACATTTTCCCCCTCAAGAATTTTAAACTTTCTTCTTAAAAAACTATGCAACTTAAGATACTGAAAACAGACTTTATAACTGAGCTTTGTGGAACTATGTCCATGAAATTAGTGTTTGCATTTATAAACAATACTAGTGATAAAATCTCTCCAAAACTCTTAAAGGAAAAATTATTATAAAACATTGAGTTAAAAATGTCTATAGGGCTGAGGTTGTAGTGCTTGTAGTGGGTTGTAGCTGGGGTTGTAGTGCTTGCTTGCTAGTAGTAGAGTGCTTGCCTAGCATATGTGAGGCACTGGGTTCAATTCTCAGCACTGCATATAAATAAACAAAAATAAAGGTCCACTGACAACTAAAAAATATATTTTTTAAAAAATGTCTATAATAAAAAGTTTATGCCAGGTATGGTGGTGCATGCCTGTAATCTCAGCAACTTGGGAGGCTGAGGCAAGAGGATTTAAGTTCAAGGCCAGCCTCAGCAACTTATAGAGACCCTGTCTCAAAATACAAAATAAAAAGGGCTCAGTATGTGACTCAGTGGTTAAGCACCCTTGAGTTCAATCCCTGGTACAAAAAAAAAAAAAAAAAGTTTACTTAAAATTCCTTTTAACTTTTCCTCTGCTGGCCATTATAAAATACTTACTTTTAAACCTCATTTTACCTATTGATTCAGTAAAGCTCAATTTATATGAGAACAACTGAAAAATTTTAGGAAAAATTTGCAACTTAAAGCATGTCATTAATGCTCTTCCAAGGGTTATTTATTATAGCAGTAACCCAGGAAATAACCAAATAATAAGATAATGGTTAGGAAAATCACAGTTTGTCCAAACTGAAGAGTATGCAGTAATTCGGGGATGATCTGTTATCGTGACTTTTGGACTGTACCCCTAAAGCTTACAAACACAGAGAGGAAAACTAAAAGAAAATTTTTATTTATGTATTTATTGCAAAAAGAGAAAGAAAAAATAGAATCGTGCGAGTAGAATAAAGAAAACAGGTCCTGGTGAGGGAGAGGAAAGGCTAAAAGGGAAGTACCAGGTAATTAAACTGATCAAAGTATGTTATATGTGTGAACAAATATGTCACAGTGAAACCCAATATTCTATATAATTATTTTGCACTAATAAAAATTTTAAACTATTTTTGCAATTATGTTTTTTTTTAAGTAGGACAATGTAAACAATGTAACTAAAATCAAATGAATAAAACAGAAGTATTCAAGCTGAGCACTGCGGCGTGTGCTTGTAATCACAGCTACTCAGGAGGTTGAGGCAGGAGGATCACTTGAGCCCAGGAATTCTAAGTCATCCTGGGCCAAGTAGCAAGACCTCGTCTTAAAAAACAAACAAACAAACAAAAACAGATAAAGAAAAAAACAAGCATTTAAGTTATGAACTACTAAAGAGTAAGAACTTTCTTAATGTGTTTCTCTTCAGAATCAGAATATGAAGAGTCAGAATATGAGAAAATTTAACTGAAAATATTTTTAGAGATGACACAGTAAACTGGGATAGGTACCAGGGCTCCTGAAAGGGGAGTTGGCAGAGTTGAGGGCTTTGGCTTGTCTAGATGGCCTTTTGAAGTTAAGCATAAAAATTCACCAGTGTCCAAGTTTAGTGAGCTGGTGAATTTTAGAAATTAAAAATATGAGCTAAGTTGGAATAGGTTTTTTAAAAACTAATCTCTGAACAATAAAATAATTGATTGAAGCAAGGATTAATGGATGCTAAAATCAATTTAAAAGGCTGTAGAATATTGATACAATCTCAGGTATCACCCAGATACTATTAATTACAAAGGAGAAAGAATATTGTTACACTGGAATAAAAAATAGCACATACCATATTCCTAACCAAACATCACCATTAGTAAGACAAAGTACATGCTTCCTGAATGCACTGTGAAAGAAACATCACAGTATGTAGTATTTTTGCCAAAAAAATGTTCAACCAGATTCTAAACATGAAGAAACAATCAGACAAAATCAAACTAAAAGACATTTTCAAAACACCTGGCATACACTCTTCAAAACATGTATCTCCAACGACAGGGTACAAGGGGAGGGAGTGGGGATTTGCTAGATTAAAGGAGACTAATAAAAAGGAAAATCAATATAATGCTTCATGATTCTTGACTGGATCCTAGATCAAAAAGGAAATTAAAAATACACATAAAGGACATTACGGAGACTTATTGGAGAAATTAAATATGATGTATATATCAGATAACATAATTGTATCATTGAATTTCTTGATTATGATCACAATGCTAAGGTTATGTTTTTTAAAAGTCCTTTTTCTGGGGACTGAAGTGGAGCAAATTATATTCCATGCATTTATAATTTTTGTCAAAATGAACCCCAATGTTATGTATAACATCCTAATAAAAACATTTAGATACTTTTTAAAAAGTCCTTTTTCTTAGGAATTATATGTGAAGTACTTACTGGTAAAATAATATGGTATCTCCAACTTACAATCAAATTTTTCAAAAAAAATATGTGTATGTGAATATATATCAGAAAGAATGAGATAAAGTAAGGGTGGCAAAATGTTAACATAACTAATAAATGAGGCAACAAAAATTTGGATATTCACTGCATTATTTCTCCAAATTTTAAGTCTGGAATATTTTTTAAAAACATTGGAAGATGGAAGGAACCTAAATGTACACATTTTCTTTGACACAAATACATGACACTAGTTTATGGAAGGATACCTAAAAACAGCAATGGGGAGGGAACTAGAAGGAAGAAAGGGAATAGGGTAAAGGAAGACAGGTGTGGGTAGGAGATTCTTTATTGTATGCTATACTGTATTTTAAATTTTATTCAACCATGAAATACTTTAAATATTTAAGAAATTAAATTAAAACAAAGTTCCAGCAAAAGTACTGAATTTGCTATGATAAGATCATATTGGTTTTCTTATAAAGTTCCCAGAAAATATTTTAGCAGGAAGAATTACCCAAATATTCAATATCTATGATTTTCTTTTTTTTCACTGTGATGAAGGGTGTATTAAAATCACTGAGCTGAGCCAGGGGCAGTTGTGCACACCTATAATCCAAGAGATGGGAGGCTGAGGCAGGGAGATTGTAAGTTCAAGGCCAGTCTGGGCAACTTAGTGAGACCTTATAAAGAATAAACAGGGATTGGGGATGTACTTCAGTAGTAGCAAAGCACCCCTGGATTCAATCCCTGGTATGGGAAAAATAAATCACTAAGCTGGCAGCAAGGGGGAGCCATCCACCCCAAGTGAGAATGCCCTCACTAGTTGAAAATCACTGATCATAAAGAAAAGTATTCCTGGTAAAAATGTATATGGATGATGTATATGAATGTGTAGAAGAGAAAAGAGACTGAAAATATACACAAAATAACAGAAGCTTGGCCCATCTTATTGCTATATTGTACCACTTCAAGTCAAAGCTCTCATATCCTTCTTGTCAATTGTTTCATGGGAACTGATTGCTAGGAAGAGAAAGTGCTTTGTTCCTAATACCTACCTGAGGGCCCGACGCTCTGGATAATCAAGGTCATAACTCTGTATAGAGTCATTGCAAGAATCCCGGGAACTGCCCTGAAGCTGTAGCTGATGTGGCAATCGCACAGGCACAGGAAACTGGTGCACAGAAGCATTGGGCTGGGAAGTCGTATGGTAAGGAGGTGGGATGCTATTGCTGGTCTCACTGCGATAATCACTGTCTCGGTCATCAACGGCACTATCAGGGTCTTCAAAGGCTGTAGAATAAGCACAGTCAGTCCAAGAACTCCAGCTTTATTTAGTTCTTCAGAACTTTTTCTGCTCTAACATTGATAACCACAAATCTGAACCTTTAAAACGAGAACAAGCTGAGCTACATATGAGCCCAGTGACCTCAAAAACATATGTGGAAAAATCTCAATTAATATCCACAACTCTATCAAATAAGATAAAACACTTGGTTTAATTTTAGTTCTGATTCTCAGAAGTGCTCCAAGTTGCATTTTTCTAGAGCAGAATTTTCTAGAATTCTGCTACTTTAGTTTTAATAACCCTAATTAAAATCTGTTTTTAAATGTCACAAATAGATTTTGGTCCTCTATTGTTATCAAAGAGGAAAAACAGCATTTCCATATCTTAGAAAAGATAAATTTTAATTTAAAGTTAGACTGGTTTTTTTCAGACTTTAAAATGCATGGGCTAAACCAAAAAAACAGATCCACCATGAGGAGCTGGTCAAAGCCAAGGCTTAGAAATCAAGCCAAAGGCTCTAGACTAGACGCAGCTGAGAACAGCAGCAGACTTACTGTCTGGATATCATGGCAAGTTTTTCTAACAATTCCGGTTAAGTACCTACACCCTGGGCTCAGAATTCCCATCCTGACCACGAGCTGAGAGAAGAAGAAAACATACACTACTCATGGGATATTGCTGATAATGCAGCCATTTTACCAAACAGCAGTGACTACAATTTTTCAGAATTTTATCTACTTTCCAGATCAGCTAAAGTGACCACC